TGTGTTCCTGAGGTGGGATCTCTGCACCCGCCACAGTAGCCATATTGGTCTAGAGGCAAATGGAATTCCTTTTGATTCTAGAACATTATGGCTACAACCTGTATACCTGACACATGGAAGATACCAAATTTTAGCTGCTTTTTTAAATGAACATTTCATAATTTTTCATTAAGGAAGCAAAATTTACCATCTGAAACCTGAGACCCTGCTCCTGCCCTTGTTCAAGTTAATTTGCATTCTAACAGAGCACAGAGGTAGCTCTCCACAAAAGAGATGCCTGCCCAGAAGAACATTCCATCTTTCCACTCTTCTGTGAAATATGAAACATCATAACCAGAAGGAAATATGATTCTACATCCTGCTTGCTAGCAGACAACTTCAAAGTAAAAAGAGTTTTCCAACTTTTCTCTGAGCCTAATCTGCACAAAATGAACTGTTCTAAATAGGAGACCTTACCACACCTGCAGCTCTCTGTAAAATATTAATTCGCATTTCTACATAGGAGAAATTTTACAATCTTTGCAATCTCCTATGCCTGATGAAGGGTGCCTGTGTCTAAAGCTAGCAATTAAGGAATTTTTTTTTTTGCAAATATCTAGTTGGTCTAATAAAAGATATCACCTCCGCCATGAATTCTGGCTACTTTTAAGGCAGTGATTCTCACCCAGGATACCCTGCCTTGGGGTGTGAGGGGTTATGGGGGGATGTGAAGAGATAAGCAGATAAGTGCAGGCTCAGGCTTGTCCGGCTTGGCCAGTCCTCCAGCCTCACTGCCTGGACTTTCTGCATGGAGGTAAACACTAATACATAAATTAGTTTTTGAAATTGGGTGCCACTCAGTTCGTAAAAGTTATGCAGAAGTGTTTCAAGTCCAAAAAAGTTGAGAATCGCTGCTCTAAGGCATATATTCTAGTATTTGAGATAAGAGTTAAATGTGGCTATCAGTTGAGAGTTTATTTCTGGCTTCTGCAAATAAGCAGGAGATAAATTATCCTCCTATCACTTAGGTTATGTTGAAATTGGGGGTTGAGGCAGCTCTGGGGTAAGTAAAAAGAAACAGTGATATGGAATTGATGTTGGGGATGATAATTGAAATTCTGCATTAGTGTGCTGCTATTGGAGGAAGGATTTGTTGTGGAAGACAATTGCTGTTTGAGAGCGTTGATTTTCATAGTTTCTGACAGAATTGGAGTTTAGAGTGGGAGGTTTTGTGGCCCCGTGCTGCAAGTTGTTCTAAAAGAGCAACAGAGTCAGCTTGGCAGTGAGGGAGAGTATCAGAACAAAGGAGCAAATCATCTATGTATTGGATTAGCTCAGAATCATGAGGCAACCAGACTGTATCGAGGTCAGACTTCAGAAGTTGGCTATATATGGTGGGTGAGTCACAAAATCCTTGAGGCAGACAGG